ATGGACAGTGGCTCTAATAGGTCATTGTTCATGCTCCAGTGAGAAGTAGATTGTTATGGTTGCCAAGAGTAACTCTTAGCCACCAGCTTGTGGACAGGCCAAAGCTGAACAGCTGGACGATGCAGGTCCACAAAGTGCCTGAGAATATATGGTGACCCTTTATTGTTCAATCTTAAACAGAGAGGGCTATGTTCTTCCCACCACGGTCAGCGTCGTTGCTCATTTCTATTTATAGCTGGCCTCTCTGCCATCTGTGCTCACGGTGTACTCTGCATCTCTAAGCAATTCGAGTGGCATTATTTGAAGACTCGATTAAATAGCCACGAAAAAGCAATCCATCATTTATAAAGGGGAAATATAAGGCAGCCACAATGGTGTCCTGTCACACTTTGGGATTTTAGTCTTCATTTTCTTTTACTTTCTTTCTAATCCAATGCCAAACACAATAAACCCTGACCATGAGCCCAGAAGCCACTGACAACACATTAGCATCTAGGTGGAGGAAGAATGAATTACTGAGAATCTCCTTGGCAGAAGACAGTGAGGTAGGAAGCTCCATTTCTTCCCAGGGGAGTCTTGTCTCTTTTACGGATACAGAGACCTAAATAAATCACAGCCCAAGTGGATTGCAAGATATAGGTAATGGTAGTTAGCAGAAAATCAGATACGGCTTTGTATAAGCGAGCGGTAATGTGCATAATCAATTTGTCGAATGAGCAGAATCACTAGATTACTAAAACAAAATGATTTTTTTCTTTTGTCGTCTGTTTTTCATTGCATTCATTTCTATCTCCTTTCTCATCACCGGTAGAAGTTTGGAATACTTTTCTGGGCCCAAATCAAAGTACTTAAAAAGCTGTATCTTTTGTTATTAAAACAGAAACAAATTCAGGCCAGTGCAGATAAAAGCATTAGCCTGATATTTAAGTTACACTTTCTTCTCTTCAGCCAGAGAAGATATAAGACAAAAACAAGTAAGAAAGCAAAGGAAATGTCATGGAGGTTTTCACTCTCACATACCTCCTTCTTTCCTTCTGTTTAGGTCCCCTCCAGGAAGGACTACAGGGGGCAGAAGGGGTTTGATGTGAAGAGAACAGCTGTGTTCCATTGCTTATGCTTTCAAAAGCCCATTCACAGAGGGAATCACAAGCATATTTTTTATCCAGCGCTTCTGTAGATTCTTCCAATGTTACTCTATTAATGATCTACCCTCTGGGCCCTTTCCTAAGCAGACAAGGTACCTTCTGATTGACTTTTTACAACAGCTCCTACCTGGGCTCCTCACTTCCAGCAGTGTTGCCCTCTCTTGGCTGGGATAGTCCCAGGAGGAGAACATCTTAGGCCACATCCTTTTGTGATGACCTCAGTTTGGATTTTCATAAGTAGAAGATACACTACTGCTGCTCAAATAGTGGAAATAGGATCTTTTTCCCACTAGGGATCACTCTTTTTTTCATCTTGGCATTGTAGGAGCTCTTGACTTCACTCAACAAGAATACATTTCTGGACTTCTGGCTTTGCGATTGTCCACCAACCCATATCCCCACACACTCTCCAAGAAGTTGTGTTGATACCTCCACAACTTGAATTGTGGGAAAGGAAAACACTATCACTATCTATAGACAGGAATTCCCACATGCAAAGCAACTTCCATTTCAACCAACAGTTTCAAGGATGGTCTCTGTTCATCAGGTCTACTCTAAGAAAATTCTATCAAGAGGGATCTTCTGTTTCTCTTTAGAAATACATTCCTACTGACCTCTCATTTCCCTCAGCTTCCTGTTCTCTCCCTCTAATTGTCTTCAAGCCTGAAAAGATTCATAGCTGACTTTCAAGTGGGTTTTCAGAGATGGTAAATCACATAGGAGGAGAATGTTCATTTTTTTTCTCATGTGGACCAGCTATGGGAATCGAACCCCTGCCTTTAGATTGGCAATGCAAGTAGAGAAGCAGCTAAAAATAAAGCTAAACTAGAATTCCCTCATCCTACCACCTGTGAGTACATTAAATTTGGCCATATTGTTGTCAATCACTTGTTATGCATCAGAGAGTTGGACAATGACTAGGGAGGACAGAAGGAGAGTTGATGCCTTTGAGCTGTGGTGCTGGAGAAGAGTATTGAATGTACCCTGGACTGCCAAGAAGACAAACAGATTCATCTTGGAGAGGATTAAACCAAGCTACTCCTTGGAGGCAAGGATTCTGGGGCTTCGTCTGACATACTTTGGGCATGTTGCAAGGAGGGACAGGTCCTTGGAGAGGGACATCATGCTTGGGAGGGTGGAGGGACGGCGCAGGAGGGGAAGACCCTCTATGAGATGGATTGATTCAGTGACTGGGGTAATCGGGATGGGTGTGTCAGAAGGCAGTGCGATTGGCACAGAATAGAGCAGGGTTTAGAGCTGTTGTACATAGGGTCGCTATGAGTTGCAAACAATTCGATGGCACATAACAACAACAACAACAACATATTGTTGTCACTCATAAGACAGTATGACTCTTAAAGCATTACTCACATTACAGACATTGATTTTGAAGGTTTCTTGTCTTCTGCTTACCCATTACTGCTTCAGCAGAAAAAAATGAACTTTCACTTTCATCACACAAATTATATTACACGAACACACAAAGAACATTAAGCAGAAGAACAAAATAGAAGCCCATCAGGTAAATCTTGGATACTGAATGAGAAGAAGCCCATCAGGTAAATCTTGGATACTGAATGAGAGTTAACTGTTCCTCTTAATTCCTAGATAGTTCATTGACTCATCAGGAACTGTAATACTCCCCCCTCCCCCATTCTTTTTAAATTTCAATAAAGGGGGGAATAGAATGCCATCTTCATAAACATTATTATGGGATTCTTCAGATAGTATGCTAGGGATGTACGAAATGGTAAAGTTTTGTTCCCTGCTTCAAGTTGGTTCCTGCTCATTGTATCTACCCACCACTGGCGTCAGTCTTTACAGGAGGGGACTGCAGATATTTCTCTGGAGGAGCAGCTGGTGGATTTGAACTGCTAACTTCTCAGTTAGCAACTCAACAAGTTATATACTACACCACCAGGATCCATATGGTCGTAGGAAGTATTTATTAAATGGCAAAAGCCTAGGACAGACTAATAGACTAGGTTTTATGTAGTCCAGACACTTTCTACAGTTAGGGGAAGAGTGAGTCATGATTAGCTCTAAAAAACAGTTGCAAATTGACATGAAGAATAGTATAAACATGTTTGATTTCCAATCAGTTGTTTCTATCCCTATTATCCTAGATGCACCCAGTCTCATCTAGTGATTGTTTCATTACTGTCTTCCAGTTTCCATTGGTTCAAGGCTATGTCTGTGTGTGTGAGACAGGAAGGGGCACACATGCAGATAGATTTGTTGTTGTCATTAGGTATCACCAAGTCAGCTACCACTCATAGCAACTCTATGAACAATAAGCAGGAATCTCCCGTGAAAAGAGATGACCCTCAACAAGATGGACTGACAGCGACTCCTGCAACCACAAACTTGACCGAACATCACACATACTGTGAGTCTTGAGTAAGATAGGATCCAGTTTGTGCTGCTGAATAGGTAACTAGTTGTATGTGTGTGTGAAGGGGGAGGGGGGA